TTAGCTACTCAGGAGGCTGAGATCTGATGATTGTGGTTCAAAGCCAGTTTGGGCAGGAAAAGTCATGAGATTCTTTTTGTTGTTGTTGTTGTTGGTCGTGGGGTTTGAACTCTGGGCCTGGGTGCTGTCCCTGCGCTCTTCAGCTCAAGGCCAGCATGCTACCGCTTGAGCCACAGCGCCACTTCCGGTTTTCTAGTGGTTTATTGGAGATAAGGACTTTCCTGCCTGGGCTGGCTTTGAACCATGATCCTCAGATCTCAGCTTCCTGAGTAGCTAGGATGACAGGCGTGAGCCACTGGCTTCATGAGATTCTTATTTCCAATTATCCACCAGAAAACTGGAAGTGGAGCTGTGGCTCCAAGTGATAGAACACTAGCCTTCAGCAGAAAAAGCTCAGTGCCCAGGCCCTGAGTTCAAGCCCACAACTGTCAATAACCAACAACAAAAAGGAGGGGCTGAGGGTGTGGTTGAGTGATAGAACATTTGCATATTATTTGCATGAAGCTCTGGGTTCCCTCTCTAATAAGGGTGGGCACAGAGGCTTCAAGGTGTCTGGGATACTTCCCGTGGGTACACAGGAGTTTTATTACTATCGTTTTGTTTCTGAAACTTGTTTCACTATGTTACTTTGGCTGGCCTTGAACTCCCAATCTTCCTGTCTTAGCTTCACAAGTACTGGAATTACAGGCCGGCATCGCCACACTCAGCTTTCGTTATTTTTTCACACTGCGTATCTGCAGGTTCTGTACTCCTCCATACACGCTGTGCATTTCACCCCTCCCCTACTTTTCCATCCAGCCTCCATTTCTATTCCCAAGTGTCTGTGTGTGTGGGGGGGGGGGGGGGGAGGAGGAGGAGGTCCCTTACAACTCCAGTTCCTGAGTGGCTCAGAGGACGATGGGGGGTGAGGGCCTCTCCTGGGCAGCGAGGCCCTGGCTACTCCAGGGTGGGAAGGGCTGGAGAGAGCGGGGCCAAGCGAAGCCGGCTGGACCTGCTGTTTGTGCCAAGTCTGGGATTAGGCCTGGGCTCTGGACCACCTGTTCTTTCCCTCATTCAGCATGAACACATCCACCAAGCACTTTCTGCAAGCACTGGGTGCTGTGCAGGATTCAAGGAACTGGGAATGGTGGATGTGCGCGTGTTGACGCAGGCTTTCCCCAGGTCACCAGGTAGACCAGGCTAGCCTCAAACTCAACTCGAGATCCTGCATTTCTCACGACGCTGAGAAGACAGGTATGCACCACCAGGCTCAGCAGGTGATGGTCTTTGACCTCAAAGGTCTGACAGTATACCAGGGCCCTGAACACAAATAACTGAGCTACCAGCAACACAGGAGCCTAGGATCAGATGGCCACCTGTCTACTCTCCCAGTAAACAGTAGCAAGGATCCGGCATGGCTTAGTGTCAGAGACTGAAAGGACACTTCCTAGCCCTTGAACTCACAACCTAACACAGGGCAAACAGACACCACGCAGGAAACAAATACAACTGAGTGGCAAGGCCCATCGATGCAAATGGGCCGAACAAGGGAGGAGGAAGGCACCAGGAGTCAGGTGGGGAGAGAAGAATGGGGAAATGCTGGGGAGAAGCCTTGGGGAAAGAGCCCTGGAGCCGGGCTTTATGGAAAGAGAAGCTACAACACAGTGCAGGGCTCTTGGGGCTCCTGAGCAGAGGGTAAGGCCTGGCATAAGACATAGACCACTTGGCAGGAACATATACACTCAGCAGGGAGAAGAGGAAGACAGAGAGCAGGGAAGGTCAAGGTGGATCAGAATTGTATTTGCCTGGCAAATCATCAGGGTGTGTGTGTGTGTGTGTGTGTGTGTGTGTGTGATACTAGAGTTTGAATTTAGGGCGTCACACTAGCTAGGCAAGTGCTTTACAGCTGAGACACACCTCCAGCTTTTTTTTTTTTTTTGCTGGTCCTGGGGTTTGAACTCCGGGCCTGGGAGCTGTCCCTGAGTTCTTCAGCTCAAGGTGAACGCTTGACCACTTGAGCCACAGCACCACTTCTTGGTTTTCTGGTGAATTGGAGATATGAGGCTCACGGGCTGGCTTTGAACCATGATCCTCAGATCTCAGCCTCCGGAGTAGCTAGGGTTATAGGTGTGAGTCACAGGCACCGCTTTTTGCTCAAGGGTAGTGCTCTACCATTTGAGCCACTGCTCCACTTTTGGATTTTCTTTTTCAGTGGTTTATTGGAGATAAGAGTGTCACGGACTTTCCTGCCCAGGCTGGCTTCCAACCTCAGTCCTCAGATCTCAGCCTTCTGAGTATCTAGGATTACAGGCATGAGCCACTGGAGCCCAGCTCCAGCCCTTTTTGAGACAGACAGACAGACAGTGGGTCTCATTGAGTTGTCCAGGCTAGTAGGGTGTGTGCCACTGCCCAGATAAAACCTTAGATCTTAAAGGTGTTAAGATCCATTGAAGGATTTAGGAGGGGGCTTGATAGTTCTTGCTGGCTCAATATATTAAAGGGGCTGAGGGGCCTGGACTGGAAGGTAGCCGTGGAGCCCAGAAATGTTTGAGCTGGGACTGGCCTCAGCATGTGAGTGGCACAGGTGGAGGGGACCCACCGCGCTAACAGGGTGGGCTGTCTGTGTTCTGGGTATTAAGCAGCTGAATGCAGGCAGACAGCAGGGACCGGCCATGGGTGTGGGCAGAGCTGCTCTGAGGAAGTGGAAACACATGTGAAATTGCCATAAATTACATGTAGGCACTCTAAAGAACTTTCCTCAGAACTACCTTCAATTAACTCAATCAACAAGCACATCACTGAGAGGCATGAACTACCAAAACGCATTCCTTATAGACTCCAAAGTGGCTTTGTCCTGGGAGTGGGGAATAGGGGAAAAGGGAAAGGAGACAGGTTTTTATTTTTTTACTTTATTTCTTTTGCTGGTCGTGGGGCTTGAACTGTGGGCCTGGGCGCTGTCCCTCAGCTCTTCAGCTCAAGGCCAGCGCTCTACCACTCGAGCCACAGCGCCACTTCTGGTTTTCTGGTCGTTAATTGGAGACTCTTATGGAGTCAAAGCCAGAACCGTGATCTTCATATCTCAGCCTCCTGAGTAGCTAGGATGCCAGGCGTGAACCACTGGCCCCTGCTGTTTTTTTTTTTTTTTTAACTAAGTCTTTTTCAGTTGTAAAGTGCCTAAAACCATGAACAGAGAGAATCTGCAACACTGGCCTGGGCTCTGTTTGTTCCTTCCTAGTTGTCGTTAGGGATGCCTTTTCTCGCTTGAATCGATGGTGATGGAGGACAAGTCCCCCTTGGGTGAGATGAAGAGCCACGGATGTCTGCACCAGGTGCCTTTCCAGTCTGGAAGCTGCGTCCTCTGGGCGGCGGGCACAGCGCCTGCGATCCCGCGTCCGGCCACCAGGGGTCAGGCGAGCTCCACACAGCCCCCGGGCTGGCCCCGGGAGCCAGGGCAGGCGCCGCGCAGCACCTCCCGGGGTGGGGCTGGACTGCCTGGGCACAGCCCTGTGGGCCCCACAAGCAGGCGAGGCGGCCGGAGGCCCACCTGGAAGCTCAGAGCCCCAGGACCCTCCCCTTCCCCTTGGTGTCAGGCTGCAGGGTGGGCTTGGGTTTCCCCCGTTGTACCTGGGGGCCACAGCCACATTCCGCTTGTCCTTCTGCCTGTCCTGGTTGCTTTGTGCCGCTCTAGGTCATCTGGCAGGGATCTGAGGCTGGAGGTCCAGGGGCCCTGCAGCCGCCCAGGGCTAGCTTGAGTCTTCTCTTAGAAGCAGCTACCTGCCATCACGGAGCTCTGGCGTCCAGATGCCTCCCACAGGTGATGCACTGCGCTCAGCTGCTGCACATCACTGCAGGCCCGTCTCTCCGCAAACCGTCTCAGCCAGGGGTGCTTTCAGCTGGCTGCTCGCCCCGTGCTGCCACGGGGGTGGATGTGAAGGGCAGCCGGGAGTCCTGGACCTTCCCCTCTGGCTGGACCCGACGGGGGTACACAAGGAGCTAACCCTATCTGTCTCAAACCACTGGCTGGGAGCAGCACTTGGCCACAGGCCAGGACGGGAGGCTCAGAACTGGCACTGCTGCCGACGGGTCGAGCGCCAGGAAAACCAGTTCATCCCTGGGGAACTTGACAGAGGGTGGAAAAACCCAGAGCCGATTCTCCCTACCTGTGCAGTGGGGCCCCTATTTCTTTTAGTGGCTAGCGTATCTGGACCCTCACCTCTGATCTTGAAGAAAGGCAAATAGCTTCTGTTTTTTGGTTTTTTTTTGTGGTACCATGGTTTTAAACTCAAGGCCTTTGTGCTTGCTAGGCAGGTCCTCAAAGTTGAGCCATGCCTCTGGTCCAGCGTTTGGCTTTTTTAAAAATTGTTGGTCATGGGGCTTGAACTCTGGGCCTGGGCGCTGTCCCTCAACTCTTCAGCTCAAGGCGAGTGCTCTACCGCTTGAGCCACAGCGCCACTTCTGGCTTTTTCCGGCGAATGTGGTGCTGAGGAATCGAACCCAGGGCAAGCACTCTGCCACTGAGCCACCTTCCCAGTCCAGCTTTTGACTTAAAAGACAAAAAAAATCTCAGGGATGTGTTTAGGGGTGCTGGTGCCCGCTTGTAGGGATGTATTTAGGGGTGCTGGTGCCCACTTGTAATTCCAGGGATGAAGGAGGCAGAGGCAGATCTCAAAACCAAAGCAAACCACCACCTCACGCCCCAGGATTAAAGCTACCAGACTGGACCCCACCCCACCCGCTTTCCTTTAAAAATCGCAGGGCACGGCCAGGAGGCTGGGCATTGCTGCGCAGGCCTGCGGCTTTGGCTCCATCCCCAGCACCACCCAAGCAAACGCAACCACAGGGAGATGGCTGACCTCCCTGTGGGGGCCAGCTCTCCCGCTGTGCTGTCCCCACCCCACCCCCACCCCGGGGATGATGGGAGGGCCCTCGGCCAGGCCCCGCCAAGCACAGGTGCTGGAGCGCACGGGAGGGAGGCAGTGGGGAGGTTGCTTCCTCGCGGCAGCGCTTCGGGAGCAGATGGGTTTGCTTTACAACATGTTTAATACAAAATGGCAGCAGCCACTGTGCAGCGGTAACAACATCAGCCGTAGAGCGTCCGAAGAAATGTACACAGCCGCCAGGGCTGGCCGGGGGCCAGGCAGCCAGGCAGCCGGGGCCGGCCCGGGCCTGCGCGCGGTCGGCAGCAGAAGGCCACACAATCGGGAAAGGCTGGTGCCCGTGCTGGTGGCAGTGGTGCAGGGGGGACTCGGGGCTGCCTCCCAGGAGGACCCTGGGCCCCGCCGCTGACCGCCGCACGGTCAGCTCCGGGCGCCACGCCCGAGAAGCAACGGGGAGATTTTTGGCTGCTTTCCCCAGAAGAGGCGGCGCGGCTGCTGAACTGGAGCAGAAGCTCCCTTTACGAGTTACTCACAAAAGAAGTTTCACCTGCACCCCCACAGGCCACCCCCCACCCCAGGGGCCATCAGGTCCCCCACGCTGAAGAGCCAGGGCACAGAGTTCACCAAGCTCCCCCCCACCCCAGGAGCAATGCACTTCCACAACAGTCCATTTGCAGCTTTCCTGGCCTGGGGGTGAGGCCCGTAGCCAGGCCGCTGGGCAGCCTCGCTCGCTCGCTCAGAGGCTGCCCCGTGGCCTCCCCAAAGGCCCCTAGGTGCGGGCGCTCCGGCGGCAGGCCTGGCTCTAGTGGAAGTCGGCATTGAAGGCTCTGCCAATCACCAGCCGCCTCACCTCACTGGTGCCAGCGCCGATCTCATACAGCTTGGCATCGCGAAGAAAGCGGCCCATGGGAAAGTCGTTGATGTAGCCATTGCCACCTGCAAGCAGGATTTGGGCAGAGAAGAAAAAGCAGAAGTGATGGGCACGGGCGAGGAAGGAGACAAGATGGCCAAGCAGTCACTACTCACTGTCTTTAGGAACTGGTTCCAGGACTTCAGGAACAGTCGGGGCCCTTATGTGAGATGATACAGGATTTGCACACATCCTCCAGTCCTGCCTTTGTGCGTGCGTGTGTGCGTGTGTGCGTGCGTGCGTGTGTGTGTGTGTGACTCAGGGCCCTGTACCTGCTAGCCTGGCACTCTACCATTTGAGCCATGTCTCCAACCTGGTATTTAGCTAGAATTAACAAGTGTGAGTCACCAATGCCCAGCTACACATTTTTATTTATTTTTTTCTCTAAGCAAAATGAATCCCAAGACAGGGACACAAGAGGTTTTTACCTTTGTCACTGTTGTTTTTAATGAACTATGTGATTTTTTGTTGTTTCTTTTGTATGTTCTTCCCCCATGGTATAACCCCTGTTGTCACTGTATTTGATTCCTGTGCCTTGCATCTTGTATATATGTTTTTCTAATTTGGGGAGGGAAAGGGAAATAAAATGTTGAAACAAGAATAATAGGTTGACCCATTGTAACAATGAGATGTACAAGACACTATGTTGAAAACAAACTGTACAACTTGCCGGGTGCTTCTGGCTCACACCTGTCATCCTAGCTACGCAGGAGGCTGAGATCTAGGGATTGCAGTTTAAAGCCAGCCCAGGCAGGAAAGTTCATGAAACTTTTTTTTTTTTTTTTTGGGTCCGGTTGTGGGGCCTGAACTCTGGGCCTGGGCGCTGTCTCTCAGCTCTTCAGCTCAAAGCTAGTGCTCTACCACTTGAGCCACAACGCCACTTCTGGCTTTTTTTTTTTTTGCTTATGTGGTGCTGAGGAATCGAACCCAGGGCCTCAGGCATGCAAGGCAAGCGCTCTACCACTGAGCCAACTTCCCAGGCCCCATGAAACTCTGTTTTTTATTTTTTTAATGAAACTCTTATCTCCAATAAAACACCAGAAAAACTGGAAATGGCACTGTAGCTCAAGTGGTAGAGTGCTTGCCTTGAGCTGAAGAGCTGAGCGACAGCACCCAGGCCTAGAGTTCAAGCCCCACGACCGACAAACAACAATAACAACAACAAACTTTACAACTTTGGGGGGGAGGGAGGAGTTGGAGGTGGGGAGGGAAGGGATGGTAGGAGAAAAACAAAGGAGGGGGTAACAATGCTGCCACTTCCAGTTTTCCGGTGGTTTATTGGAGATAAGAGTCTCATGGACTTTCCTGCCTGGGCTGGCTTTGAACCATGATCCTCAGATCTCAGCCTTCTGAGTAGCTAGGATGACAGGTGTGAGCCACCGTTGCCCAGCTGTACAGTATCTTTACTATAAAATATTAAAAAACCCTTTTTCTGTCGGTCATGGGGCTTGAATTCAGGGCCTAGGCACTGTCCCTGAGCTCTTTCTTGCTTAAGACTATTGCTCTACCACTTCTAGCCACAGCCCCCACTTCTGGTTTTCTGGTGGTTAACTGGCAGTAAGACTGTCATGGATTTTCCTGTCTGGGCTGGCTTTGAACCGCAATCCTCAGATCTTAGCCTTTCGAGTAGCTGGAATTACAGGTGTGAGCCACCAGCGCCTGACTTATATTACTAAGGTTGGAATTCAGGGCTTCACACGTGCCAGGCAGGCAGTCTACCACTTGAGCCACACTGCCAGCAGGGCCAGGCTCCTTGCTGATTATTTTCCTCCTTCTCCTTCTTCTTGGTGGTACTGAGAATTGAACTCAGAGCTGTGCGTTTGTTGGTAGATGCGCTTGTCATTTAGGCCACACTTCCTGACCTTTGGCTCTGGTTATTTTAGAGACAGTGTCTCAGTTTGGCCTCTGACGGCCTGGACCAATATCCTTCTACTTACACTTCCTGCCACGGCTAGGATGGCGGGTGTGTGCAACCATAAAGTTCTTTTGTAATTGTTTTGTTTGAGTTGGCTTGGAAGTTCAACCCTTCCAGTCTCAGCCTCCTTGATAGCTAGGATTACAGGCATGATTCACTGGCACCAAGCCTGGGTTTGGTCTTTTTTTTTTTGTCCAAACCTGGGACTCAAACTCACTGATGCCTTCCCTCATCAATTGGCTCAGCAGCAGTTAAGCTATGTCTTCAACTCTAGTTTTGGTCTTTTTTGAGTCTCGTTACACAGCTCAGGCTGGCCGTGAACTTGCCGCACCCAAACATTTCTGATTGTTTTTGACCTGAGTTTTCTGAATAGACACACAAGGAACCCCCAGATGACAAAGAGTAAATTGTGTACTAATTAAAAGGAAGCAACTGTAGCTAGAAGGTGAGGCTCAGAGCGTGTGGTAGGGGCTAGGGTGGGCGGGGGCTGGGGGGCTGGGAGACCATCGGAGTGCTAGGACATCACGTAAACAAAGTGCAGAGCACAGGCCAGGCGATGGGAAGAGACTGGTATGGCAGAACTAGGATCCAAACCCAAACCCATGTGGTTTGAGTCTATGCCCTGGCTGATATCGAATCTCCACAGTGTGTGGTTCACTCACCCAGACACTGAATGCCATCCAGGGCAACCTGTGTGGCGCACTCGGCTGCGTAAAGAATCACGGCGGCGCAGTCCTGCGGGCGGAGGCGTGGCTCAGTGGCTCAGTGAGGCCGGGCCGGGCCGGGCCGGGCAGCCAGGGCAGCAGCTGGCCACAGCCCCTCCCTCCGGGGCAGCCGGGCCTCACCTTGGGAGTGCAGTGGCCCTCGTCACAGGCCTTGGCCACATTGTAGACGTACTGCCGACTGGCCATGAGGCGAGTGTACATGTCAGCCATCTTTCCCTGCATCAGCTGGGCAAGGGAGGTCTCGGGTCAGTATGCGGGGTCTTTCAGGGACCCGATGCAGGCCAAAGCAGCCCACTCACCTGGAAGTGGCCGATCTTCTGGCCGAAGGCTTCCCGCACGTGCAGGTAGGGAATGGTGTGGTCCAGGACAGCCTGCATGAGCCTGCGGGGAGCAGGGAGGAGGGAGACGGGCCGAGCTCGGTACCGCCATGCCCCTGCCTGGCGGCGTGACACAGTGCCAGGCGCAAGGCCTGCAGGGGAGGCGCGGTGAGCTAAGGCGCTGCTCCAGGGCGCAAGGCCTGCAGGGGGAGGCGCGGCGAGCTAAGAGGCTGCGCCCAGGGACGCTGCCACCCCCACGCCTCTGCCTGGCACTGGCACCCTCTCCCCGAACCCAGAGGGGGGAACGGCAGGAGAGCGGACAGGCAGGAAGAGGGGGCAGGAGGAGACAGATGGTGGCAGGTTGGGGCAGGAAAGGGCAGGAGGGGGCAGGAGGGGGCAGGAGGGGGCAGGAGGGGGCAGGTGGGGGCAGGAGGGGACAGGAGGGGGCAGGTGGGGACAGGAGGGGGCAGGTGGGGGCAGGAGGGGACAGGAGGGGGCAGGAGGGGGCAGGAGGGGGCAGGAGGGGGCAGGTGGGGGCAGGAGGGGGCAGGTGGGGACAGGAGGGGGCAGGTGGGGGCAGGAGGGGACAGGAGGGGGCAGGAGGGGGCAGGAGGGGGCAGGTGGGGGCAGGAGGGGACAGGAGGGGGCAGGTGGGGACAGGAGGGGACAGGTGGGGGCAGGTGGGGGCAGGTGGGGGCAGGAGGGGGCAGGAGGGGGCAGGTGGGGGCAGGTGGGGGCAGGTGGGGATGGGAGGGGGCAGGAGGGGGCGGGAGGGGACGGGAGGGGATGGGAGGGGGCGGGAGGGGGCGGGAGGGGACAGGTGGGGGCAGGTGGGGGCAGGTGGGGACAGGTGGGGCAGGAGGGGGCAGGTGGGGGCAGGAGGGGGCAGGAGGGGACAGGAGGGGGCAGGAGGGGGCAGGAGGGGACAGGAGGGGGCAGGAGGGGGCAGGAGGGGGCAGGAGGGGGCAGGTGGGGGCAGGAGGGGGCAGGAGGGGGCGGGAGGGGGCGGGAGGGCACAGGAGGGGGCAGGAGGGGCAGGTGGGGGCAGGAGGGGGCGGGAGGGGGCAGGAGGGGGCGGGAAGGGACAGGTGGGGGCAGGTGGGGGCAGGTGGGGACAGGAGGGGGCAGGAGGGGGCAGGTGGGGGCAGGAGGGGACAGGAGGGGGCAGGAGGGGGCAGGAGGGGGCAGGAGGGGGCAGGTGGGGGCAGGAGGGGGCAGGTGGGAGCAGGAGGGGGCAGGTGGGGGCAGGAGGGGGCAGGAGGGGGCAGGAGGGGACAGGTGGGGGCAGGAGGGGACAGGTGGGGGCAGGAGGGGGCAGGAGGGGGCAGGAGGGGACAGGAGGGGGCAGGTGGGGGCAGGAGGGGGCAGGAGGGGGCAGGTGGGGGCAGGAGGAGGCAGGTGGGGACAGGTGGGGGCGGGAGGGGACGGGAGGGGGCGGGAGGGGGCGGGAGGGGGCAGGAGGGGGCAGGTGGGGGCAGGTGGGGACGGGAGGGGATGGGAGGGGGCGGGAGGGGGCAGGTGGGGGCAGGAGGGGACAGGAGGGGGCAGGTGGGGGCAGGAGGGGACAGGTGGGGACAGGAGGGGGCAGGAGGGGACAGGAGGGGGCAGGTGGGGGCAGGAGGGGGCAGGAGGGGGCAGGTGGGGGCAGGAGGGGGCAGGAGGGGACAGGTGGGGGCAGGAGGGGGCAGGAGGGGGCAGGAGGGGGCAGGAGGGGACAGGTGGGGGCAGGAGGGGACAGGTGGGGGCAGGTGGGGGCAGGTGGGGGCAGGTGGGGACAGGAGGGGGCAGGTGGGGGCAGGTGGGGGCAGGTGGGGGCAGGAGGGGGCAGGTGGGGGCAGGAGGGGACAGGTGGGGACAGGTGGGGGCAGGAGGGGGCAGGAGGGGGCAGGAGGGGACAGGAGGGGGCAGGAGGGGACAGGAGGGGGCAGGAGGGGACAGGAGGGGGCAGGTGGTGGCAGGAGGGGGCAGGAGGGGGCAGGAGGGGACAGGAGGGGGCAGGTGGGGGCAGGAGGGGGCAGGAGGGGGCAGGAGGGGGCAGGAGGGGACAGGAGGGGGCAGGTGGGGGCAGGAGGGGACAGGTGGGGGCAGGAGGGGACAGGAGGAGGCAGGAGGGGACAGGAGGGGGCAGGAGGGGGCAGGAGGGGACAGGAGGGGGCAGGAGGGGACAGGAGGGGGCAGGTGGTGGCAGGAGGGGGCAGGAGGGGGCAGGAGGGGACAGGAGGGGACAGGAGGGGGCAGGTGGTGGCAGGAGGGGGGCAGGAGGGGGCAGGAGGGGACAGGAGGGGGCAGGTGGGGGCAGGAGGGGACAGGAGGGGGCAGGAGGGGGCAGGAGGGGGCAGGAGGGGGCAGGTGGGGACAGGAGGGGGCAGGAGGGGGCAGGAGGGGGCAGGTGGGGGCAGGAGGGGACAGGAGGGGGCAGGAGGGGGCAGGAGGGGACAGGAGGGGGCAGGAGGGGACAGGAGGGGGCAGGTGGTGGCAGGAGGGGGCAGGAGGGGGCAGGAGGGGACAGGAGGGGACAGGAGGGGGCAGGTGGTGGCAGGAGGGGGCAGGAGGGGGCAGGAGGGGACAGGAGGGGGCAGGTGGGGACAGGAGGGGGCAGGAGGGGGCAGGAGGGGACAGGAGGGGGCAGGTGGGGGCAGGTGGGGGCAGGAGGGGACAGGTGGGGGCAGGAGGGGACAGGTGGGGGCAGGAGGGGGCAGGTGGGGGCTGGAGGGGGCAGGAGGGGACAGGTGGGGGCAGGAGGGGGCAGGTGGGGGCAGGAGGGGGCAGGAGGGGACAGGAGGGGGCAGGAGGGGGCAGGTGGGGGCAGGAGGGGGCAGGAGGGGGCAGGAGGGGGCAGGTGGGGGCAGGAGGGGGCAGGAGGGGGCAGGTGGGGGCAGGAGGGGGCAGGAGGGGGCAGGTGGGGGCTGGAGGAGGCAGGAGGGGACAGGTGGGGGCAGGAGGGGGCAGGTGGGGGCAGGAGGGGGCAGGAGGCGACAGGAGGGGGCAGGAGGGGGCAGGAGGGGACAGGAGAGGATAGGAAGGGGCAGGAGGGGGCGGGAGGTGCCTGGCCTGGCAATTTACACTGCACTGCATGGCTGTACTGCCCCTGGGGCCTGTCTGCCACCCGATGTCACTTCCCTTCAGTGGTAACAGTGAGGCACCATGGGCGTGGGCTGTCTCCAGGACTGGGAGGGCGACCTTTGACCGGAAGTGCTCAGGGCCCCCAAGCCTCCCACTGACCTGCGGTCTCCCTGCCGCTCGCCCAGGCTCGCCCAGGCTTCGGGGCTCAGCCCCACACTTACCCTAGGGGCCCTCCCGACAGCACCAGGCGCTCCAGGTCCAGCCCGCTCATCAGCACGTACACCCCTTTACTCTCCTGGCCCAGGATGCTGGCAGCTGCGCAGAGACATCGTTAGGGAAAGAGGGGTGCCATGTGTTCAACTTGCAGAAAAAGTCACTCCAGTGCTACAATGTGGGAGTTAGCCTTGAACTAGGATTCCAACCAGAAGTTGAGTTTCTAGGGCGTCCTGGCATCCCCCACAACACTAGACTCAAACCTCCCTGATGTTAAATACTCTCCATTCACCCTGGAGGGGGAAAGAAGGAATCACCCCAAGCTGGTTCTTTCTACACCTGCAACCTGGACAGAAACCAGAGAATTCCACTCCCCTGAGCTGTCCACTGCAGCCCAGCTTCTCCTCCCAGCAGGATGGGCCAGGAAAGCTGCTGTTCAGTGTTAGTGACGGAGCCTGCTGCGCACCTGCCCCAGGCTGGCCATAGGAATGGACGGGTTAATAGCACAGAAAGGCAGGGCACCACAGACTTGAAGCTTTTCCTTCCTGTAAAAGTTCTGGCTGGGCACCGGTGGTTCATGCCTGTCATCCTAGTTACTCAGGAGGCCGAAATCAGAGGATTGTGGTTCAAAGCCAGCCCAGGCAAGAAAGTCTGTGAGACTCGCCTTGAGCAAAAAAGCTAAGGGACAGGTCCCAGGCCCAGAGTTCAAGCTCTAGAACTGGTACCAAAAAACAAAAACAAAAAAAACAAACCAGGATCTGCACAGACTCTCCCTTCCAGATGCTTCGTCTAACCACAGCGTGCTTTACCAGGACGGTGGATGGAAGCAGTAAGGCAGGGCTGACACACAGCAGTCCTGACTGGTTCTGTCTTCACTGGCCTGGGGTCTCACTGGTCTATGGTGGTGTGTGACTCTCCTACAATGCTACATTGTGTCACATTTTCACCCATGGGTCACAGGAGAAAATAATCCTGAAACCAACTTGCTTCTCCTTCTGGCTTCCAGCAATTTGTGTTTTCTTCTTACGTGTAGCACATGATGTTGTGGTTTGGACAGGGAAATATACCCTAGAGGTATGTGTGTTGAAAGCTTGGTTTCCACCGCAGTGCTGTCAGAAGTGGGGATCTGGCAGGTGATTGCTTGCACAGGGAATGTGGCCCCATCAATGAATCAATCATAATCAGACTGCATTATTGTGCAAGATGCCTGACCTCTTCGGGGGCGGGGGTGGGGGTCAAGGCCAAGACAAAGAAAAGCAGGCCCCTGGAGGAGTATTCCTGGGAACAATACCTTGTTTCCTGGCCACCATGAGGAGGTATTGTTTCACCATACCCTTCAGCCAGGAAATGTGAAGGGCTAGGGACTTACCTTTCACCTGCAACTACCAGGACAGGAACCCCCAGGCAGTCTGTTGCCCACAGATAAAGCCTCGCTCTTCCCCTCGGCTTTAGGCACACAGCTGCAGGGACTGTGGTCAGGAGGACAGTTGTCCTGCCAGAGGCCATGGACCAGCGAACCCCAGGAGATGGGCTGTCCCAGGTTGGGGAGGGGCCAGGGGTCAGGGCAGGGGCTCCTCAGTTCTTACAACACTTACCAGGAACTTTACAGTCTTCAAAGATAAGCTCACAGGTGTTAGAGCCTCTCATTCCCAGCTTGTCCAGCTTCTTGGAGGTGCTGAAGCCAGGCACGCCCTTCACAGGAAGCCAAAGGCCCTTGTTAGAAGTGCCCCCCTCAAAAGGCCTAGTAAAGGTATGGCCCACCCGAGTACCAGGTGGTCCCTGCACCTTTGCCACACACCAACATCCCATGCCCAGACCCTCTCTCTGGATAGAAAATGGCTCCAGCTTTCTACCTCACCTCGGTCCTGGTTTCCTCTGCGGCCAGCTTTGAGGCTCTCGGTTCTCACCAGAAGAGTTCGTTCTCAAGGAAACCCCACGTCCTCAGCCCTCCTCACTTCTCCCTCCCCAAGGAACATCGTTCCCAAGATACTCTCAGTTCCTCTGTTCCACTTAGACATCTGTGCCCAGTGAACTCACACCCAGAATCAGATCATGCGCCTGTAGGCGCTGACCTGGTTGCCTCAGGTGCATGTGTTACCCAACCTGGAGAACTCAAATGCTTTTTGTTTCAATACCCATCAGCCATTTCCCCTTTCCTCTATAGACAGAAGGTGCTGTAAACCTCCGTGATACTAAAAGCCTACCATCTCTCCAAGTGCTGAGGCCCCTAGCTTGGAGTGTACCCTACCTTACCCCTTGGTCAGCCGGTAGATGGACGGTCCATCCACCATCACCTGAAACCCAGGTATGTTTTGCTCACTAGGGCCTATGCATCTCCATCTCTCTGCCTTCCTTTCTCTTTGTGAAAGGCTCTCAGTTTTGTTTTTTGTTTTTTTCTAGGTCCGGTCGTGAGGCCTGAACTCTGGGCCTGGGCGCTGTCCCTCAGCTCTTCAGCTCAAGGCTAGCGCTCTACCACTTGAGCCACAGTGCCACTTCCGGCTATTTTTTTTTCTTTTTGCCTATGTGGTGCTGAGGAATCGAACCCAGGGCCTCATGCATACAAGGCAAGAGCTCTACCACTGAGCCACCTTCCCAGCCCTTGGCTCTCAGTTTTATTAAAATTTTCCAACATTAATTCTTTTACTTTTTGTTGGTTGTGGGGCTTGAACTCTGGGCCTGAGTGCTGTCCCTCAGCTCTTCAGCTCAAGGTGAGCGCTCTACCACTTAAGCCACAGTATCACTTCTGGTTTTCTGAGTGGTTTATTGGAAAAGAGTCTCACGGAGTTTTTTTTGCCCGGGCTGGCTTTGAACTGCGATCCTCAGATCTCAGCCTCCTGAGTAGCTAGGATGACAGGCGTGAGCCACCGGCGCCCGGCAGTAGTGGCGTTTAAACGCAGGACCTGAGACCTGTTGGGCGGCAGGCATGTATCCTGCGAGCCGTGCCTCCAGTGAGCCCTACACTTCTTTATACGGCCTGGCTCTGTAGACAGCTTGACCATCTTCAGACTTAACTCACTCTCTCTGGACTCAATGTTTGTTTTTTTACCCAGTGCTGGAGACTCGAACCCAGGGCCTTGCCTGGCCCACCTCCTCTTCAGCTGTCAGTGGTTTTGGCTCTACATCCTCACTCTTACCTCTACTCCCAGAAACAGAGAATACAACACTGATCTTACTCGTGATCAGCCTGTGTCTGAAGACAGAAAGAAACCTCTCCGAGTGCAGCCCCAGACCCCTTACCTTCTCCACGATAAAGGCTGTTATGCCCCGGGAAGCTGGCACAGCAGCGGGATCCGTCTTGGCGTAGACAATGAGGACATCAGCATCAGGGCCATTAGTGATCCAGAACTTGTTTCCATTCAGGATATAATGATCTCCTAAAGGCAGGATATGAACTACTTGCTCAAGCTGGCTCAGCCAGCTCACAGAACTTCAGAATCTGCTCAGCTGAGAAAGTTCTGGAGACCGTGGGGAAGGTACACCCTCAACTGCCGCTTCCTTGTTCTGATCAGCTTCCTCCCACTGCCCGTGTTAGGCCTCCTAGCTGAGTGGCTTCACCTTTCTTTTCCGCCTTCAACTTCATGGAGACAACGTCAGAGCCGGCACTGGGCTCACTCATGGCCAGGGCTCCGATGGATTCTCCACTGATCAGCTGGAAAGAAAACCCAACAGGCCATGTCACCACCCTGGAAGTCACTACCTTGGGAGCACCTGACGGCAGTTCGCAGATACTGCCTCTTCCAGAACCAGTCACGACACCAACCTTCAAACTGCTGTCTCAGACCAAGGTAACAGTAAAGTCCAGGCAGAGAAGCCCAATATCTATCTTCTTTCCATTTCTTCTTTTTTGGTAGTACTGTGGATTGAACTCAGGGCCTTGTAAGCATACCTCTAGGCCCTCTGTGCACTGGCTCTTTTCCAGTAGGGTCTTGCTCTGTGCTTGGGCCAGCCTGGATTGAAATTCTCCCACTTGAGTTTCTCCGTGTCACTGGGGTCAACAGTCGTGTGCCTCTATGTTTCCCCCATAGTCGGAGGAATAGGTGCATACCACCACACCCAGTCACTGCTTAGTTCCTTGAACTTTTTGCCTGGCATGGCCTTGAACCATGAGTTCCTGGAATCTCTGCCTCTCAAATAGCTAGGATTGCAAGCTCAGTAACCACAATCCATCTATCTATCTATCTTTCTTTTCTTTCTCTTTCTTTCTTCCTCTCTTTTTTCTTTCTTCTTCTTTGTCTCTCTCTCTTTCTTTCTCTCTTTCTTCTTTCGTCAGCAGTGGGGCTTGAACTCTGGGCCTGGGCACTGTCCCTGAGCCATAGTGCCACTTCTGGCCTTTTCTGTTTATGTGGTGCTGAGGAATCGAACCCAGGGCCTCATGCATGCAAAGCAAGCACTCTACCACTAAGCCACCTTCCCAGCCCTCTTTCTTTTCTTTCTTTCATTCTCTCTTCAGTGCTAAGGATGGAACCCAGGGCTTCACATGCCAGTCAAGCATTCTGTCACTAAGCTATGTCCATCTTTATTTCTCTTGGCACAAGGGTTTGAACTCAGTGGGCCCTTACCACTTTAGCCTTGACTCCAACACCTTTTTTTTTTTTTTTTTGCCAGTCCTGGGGCTTCAACTCAAGGTTTGGGCACTGTCCCTTAGCTTTTTTTTGCTCAAGGCTAGCACTGTACCACTTGAGCACCACTTGCAGCTTTTTCTGTGTATGTGGTGTATACACAGAACCCAGGGCTTCAGGTATGCAAGGCAAATACTCTACCACTAAGCCACATCCCCAGCCTTGTTCTTTTTTTTTCCTTAAAGTCTTCTTCAAATATTTTCTGGTTATAGCCGGGCGCTGGTGGCTCACGCCTGTAATCCTAGCTACTCAGGAAGCTGAGATCTGAGGATCGCAGTTCAAAGCCAGCCCGGGCAGGAAAGACCGTGAGACTCCTATCTCCAATAAACCACCAGAAAACCGAAAGTGACGCTGTAGCTCAAGTGGTAGAGCGCTCGCCTTCAGCTGAAGAGCTGAGGGACAGCGCCCAGGCCCAGAGTTCAAGCCCCACGACTGACAAAAAAAAAAAAAAAAATTTCTGATTCAATTATTTGGGAACTTTGGCCCTATTTTCAACATTTTTTTTTCCTTTTCTGTCACTCATGGGCTTAACCTGAGGGCCTGGGCACTGTCCCTGAGCTCTTTTGCTCAAGGCTAGCTCTCATCCACTTTCAGTTTGGGAGTGATTAATTGGAGATATGAGTCTCACAGGGAATTTTCTGCCCTGGCTGGCTTCGAACCATGGTTCTCAGCTCTCAGTCTCCTGAGTAACTAGGATACGGGTGTGAACCACTGGTGTCCAGATAACCTGAGTCCTTCCTAATGGGACTGGGTCAAGCCACAGAACAAGTCAGAATGCCTTCCTTCAGCGGAAGAGGGATCTTGGAGCTGATAGTTGTGCTGACACAAGGGTGGATGCTTTTCTTTTTTTCTTTTGTGCTGGTACTGGGGCTTTATCCTGGGGCCTGCGCTCTGTCCCTGAGCTCTTTTGCTCAAGCCTAGCACCCTACCACTTGAGCCATAGCTCTACTTCAGGCTTTGTTGTTGTTGTTATTGTTGTGGGGCTTGAACTCTGGGCCTGGGCACTGTCCCTAAGCTCTTCAGCTCAAGGCAATGGGCTCTACCACTTGAGACACAGCGCCACTTCTGGTTTTCTGGTGGTTAATTGAAGATAAGACTCTCACAGACTTTCCTGCCTAGGCTGGCTTTGAACCACAATCCTCAGATCTCAGCCTCCTGAGTAGGATTACAGGTGTGAGCCACCAGCTCACAGACTCTGAGAGATTATCTCCAATAAGCCACAAAAAGCCAGAAATAGCCAGTGGCTCACACCTGTAATCCTAGCTACTCAGGGGGCTGAGATCTGAGGATCCTGGGTTCAAAGCCAGCCCAGGCAGGAAAGTCCATAAGAGTCTTATCTCAAATAAACCACTCAAAAAACTGGAAGTGGTGCTGTGGCTCAAGTGGTAGAGTGCTAGCCTTGAGCTGAAGGCTGAGGGACAGCATCTAGGCCCAGAGTTCAAGTCCCACTGGGGAGGGGGAGGGTTGGGGTGGAGAGCTTCAGAATTTTCCTGCCTGAGCTGGCTTTGAACTGCAATCCTTAGATCTCAGCCTCCTGAGTAGCTAGGGTTACAGGTGTGAGCCGCTGGTGCCCAGCCGGGGGTGGAGTCTCTGTTCCCACCCCCTCACCTTGGGGAGGTATTTCTCCTTTTGGGCCTCATTCCCGTTGCGCACAATCTGGTTGATGCAGAGGTTGGAGTGGGCGCCATAGCTGAGCCCCACGGCTCCAGAAGCCCGAGATATCTCCTCCATGACCAGCACATGTTCCAGGTAGCCCAAGCCAGAGCCGCCGTACTGAACTGGGAGTAGAAAGGCAATCAGGTTAAATTACAATACACAGAGGAACCTTTTTTGTGGGGGGGGGGTCCAGTCATAGGGCCTGAACTCTGGGCCTGGGCACTGTCCCTCAGCTCTTCAGCTCAAGCTAGCACTCTACCACTTGAGCCACAGCGCCACTTCCGGCTTTTTATTTTCTGCTTATGTGGTGCTGAGGAATCAAACCCAGGGCCTCAGGCATGCAAGGCAAGCGCTCTATCACTGAGCCACCTTCCCAGCCCCAAGGAACCTTTTTTTGTTTTTCTTTTCTTTCCTTTTCTTTTTTGCCAGTCCTGGGGGTTTGAACTCAGAGCCTGGGGCACTGTTCCTAAGCTTCTTTTGCTCAAGGTAAATATAATTGTAATTGTGAATCAGATATAATTTAAACTTAATGAACCATGCAGGCACAAGGGTTCATAAACCATGTGTGTTTTTTTTTTTGTTTGGTTTTTTTTTGGTCAGTCCTGGATCTTGAACTCTGGGCCTGGGCGCTCTCCCTCAGCTCTTCAGCTCAAGGCTAGTGCTCTACCACTTGAGCCACAGTGCCGCTTCAAGTTTTCTGGTGGTTTATTGGAGATAAGAGTCTCAGGGACTTTCCTGCCAGGGCTAGCTTTGAACCGTGATCCTCAGATCTCAGCCTCCTGAGTAGCTAGGATTACAGGCATGAGCCACTGGTGCCCGGCAAACCATGTGTTTTGAATTTGTTCAAGTACTAGTATTTCTGCATATAAACATTTAGCATATATGGGCTGGGAAGTTGGCTCAGTGGTAGACTGCTTGCCTTGCATGCATGAGGCCCTGGGTTCGATTCCTAAGCACCACATAAGCAGAAAAAACTGGAAGTGGTGCTGTAGCTCAAGTGGTAGAGCACTTGCCTTGAGCCGAAGAGCTGAGGGACAGTGCCCAGGCCCAGAGTTTAAGCCTTATGACCGACAAAACAAAAAACATAAAACATTTAGCATATATAACAGCTATGTGAGAAGTGAAAAGTTGGAGCTGGGAAGTTGGCTCAGTGGTAGAGCGCTCACCTTGCATGCTTAATGCCCTGGGTTCGATTCCTCAGCACCACATAAGCAGAAAAAAAAAAAGCCGGAAGTGGTGCTGTGGCTCAAGTGGTAGAGCGCTAGTCTTGAGCTGAAGAGCTGAGGGACAGCGCCCAAGCCAAGAGTTCAGGCCCCACAATCGGACCCCCCCCCAAAAAAAAAAAAAAAAAAAAGAGAGAGAAGTGAAAAGTTTTCTCCCCAAAAATTAAAATATTAAAACTAAGCTAAAATACATAAAGTGGTTAGTATTCCACGCAGCATAAAATTGGACAAATCAAAGTTTACATGTCCCAGTTCAATATGTGTGAAAATGGAAAGCACATATTAACACTGATAGTGTCCAATATTTATACCAGTCTGCATATGATAGGAACATCTAAATTCTTAATTTAAAACCACAAACGAAGTGAAAGCATTACATGGGTAGACACTGTTCATACCTATCTTTCAAAAGTATTCATGATGAAACGTTGTAACATATTAGATACAGGCAAACAAGCACCTCAATCCCCACGCTCCTAACAGTACTAACAGAAAGAGATAAAAAGATGAATGGAGAAAGTACAACAAACGCAAAGGTTAGGGATGAGGGTACTGTAGCCAAAGTATCAAATACAGATATGAGGCCAAGAACATGTGTACAAAGGCCTCAGGAAGGTGAAATCTCACAGGATCTCGGGAGCCAAAATGACTCCTGCTCCTGGGCAGGAAAGTCTCCTCTTGAGGGGAAATCAGAAGAGTGGGTGGTTGTACAGCAGAGGGCAGAAGAGATGGAGAGTTTCAGAACTCCCTATTAAAAATGAGCTTTCCTGGATAGCAGATCCAAAATCAAAGTGGCTGGGTTCTCAGGTCTACTCATCTGGGTAAAGCCTGGTAAGCCCCGAGGGACATGTTCACTCATGCTGAATCTAAGAAATCAGTCTCTTAGGAAAGGAAGGAAAGCACAGAGGCAGCTAAACAGGTACTGAGGTATGAGAGGTGGCACATGCCTGTAATTCCAGTATGTGGGAGGCAGAGTTGGAGATTGCAAGTTTGAGGTCAGACGGACTACACAGTTAAAAAAAAAAAAAGGCCAGCCTGGGATACAGAGTAAGGTTGTTTTTTTTTTTTGGTTGTTGTTAAAAATAAAGAATCTCACAGAAATAAGAGTCACACAGGCTTTCCTAGACTGGCTGGCCTTAAACTATGACCCTCAGCCTCCAGAGAAGCTAGGATTATAGGCAGCCTCCAATGTTGCCCAACCCAAGAGCCTATTAATCATGTAATCTAGTCATGTTACTTAAAGGCCTAGACAAACATTTCTCTTACCACTGCCCCCAACAAAGCTCCATAGCCAAGCTGTAGGCAGAGAATAGGCAGCCCCCCCAATACACACCTTTCTGGGTCATTCCTGCTTAGAAGACACCAGCTGGGCAGAGTTCAGGAATTAAGGCAGTAAGATTCAGGGCAACTACTTGCTTCTAAATTCCCCAAACAGTCTGCCAGAGGCTAAGCACACAGACTTTCTAGAGTACATACTAATTAATAAAGGTCTTAGGCTCAGTCCACACAACAAAAAAAGAAAAAGCTTGGCGCTAATGGCTCACATCTGTAATCCTAGCTACCTAGGAGGCTGAGATCTGAGGATCACGGTTTGAAGCCAGCCTGGGCAGGAGAGTCCCCGTGAGACTCTGATCTCCAATTAACGACCAAAAATGCGGGAAGTGGTGTTGTGGCTCAAGAACACTTGTGCCTTGACCACAAAGAGGCTCAGGGACAGTGCTCAGGCCTTGAGTTCAAGCACTCTAGCTGACAGAAAAGGAAAAAGGAAAAAAAAAAAAGTAATAAAAGCAGAAAAGAAAGCAAAGAAAAATAGGTACCAAGTTGAGGCATCAAGGGATCATGACTCAATGGGTCTACTGGCATGCTCCCTTGGCTGAACATACGGAAGAATGTCCTCCCCTCTCAGCCCAGTGAACGCCCTCTCAGGGCCAAGAATGCAGAAGTTCGGGGAGGAGGGGGTGTATGGTCTTTCCATCTCCTTCATGCCTCGCTTGGGAAATAGGTTAGAGGACACACGAAGCACGTCCTCTTTCGGGGAGAAGCCATGCTCACCTGGTGCTGTGATGCCCAGCACGCCCAGGTTCCCCAGCTGCCGCCAGAACTCCTGTTGACAGAAAGGAACGGAGGGAATTGGGGGAAGGCAGCCAGTCACAGGTGGCTGGACCAGGAAGACAGGACCCTGCGAGCGGCTCCCGACAGCAGGGAGCGTCCACCCCGCTCCCAGCGCCCCGCGCCCGGGCCTGATGACTTACGCGCATGTTCTTGAAATCATTGGTCTGATCAATCTCCTGGGCCTTGGGAGCTAGGTGCTCCTGAAGGAACTTAGCCATCATCTGACGAAGCTGGAGGGAGAGGGGTGGACAGATACCACAGACACATTCACATTACTGCTAGCAAGAGGAGTGTCACAGAGCCAGCTCCAGGGATCCAGACTGCAAGCCACCGCCCCATGTAACTCACCCAAATGTATCAGGTCAGCCGGGCACCAGTGGCTCACACCAGTAATCCTAGCTACTCAGGAGGCTGAGATCTGAAGATCAAGGTTTAAAACCAGTCCAAGAAAGTCTGTGAGACTCTCTTCTGTGGTGGCTTAAGTGGTAAAGCATTATTATTAGCCTTGAACAAAAAGGCTCAGGGACAGTGCTCAAGCTCTGGGTACAGGTTCCAGGACCCCTTAGGATCAAACTCCAAGATGTTAAGATTGAAACTTGGTATATTCAAAGAACTTCTCTCTGTTGACTAAGCACTCAAACACATCTGGGGTTTCCAGATCTATGTGCAAAGTATCTAGACCTGCTAGAGAAGAGCCACATTCCTCTCATGCTGCTGCTGCCCCGCCCCCAGCCAAGAGCTCTTGTAAACCTTTGCTTTGTCCCTGCCTCCCTTCTTTCCTTGCTTCCTTCCTTCCTTTATTTTGAAAATCATCTTTATTCTGATCACAAGGATAAGATTTACTTAGTTACTTAATCATTTAACTTATATTTTGTTTCTATCTGAAGTCTCAAAGCTTGCATGTTAAACACTGCCTTTAGCCTCAAACTGCTATATAGAACCATTATAAAATACAACCTATAACCTAAAATAATCCACTTTACAGTATTTGGATCTATACATTAAAATGACATTTGAGCTGGGCACTGGTGGCTCATAATCCTAGCTGTAATCCTAATCCTGTAATCCTAGCTACTCAAGATCTGAGATCTGAGGATGAAGATCATAGGTCAAAGCCAGCCCGGGCAGGAAAGTCTGTGAGACTCTTATCTACAATTAGCCACCAGAAAACTAGAAGTGGTGCTGTGGCTCAAAGTGGTAGAGGGCAGTGGGGTGCTGGTGGCTCATGCCTGTAATCCTAGCTACTCAGGAGGCTGAGATCTGAGGACTGTGATTCAAAGTTAACCCAGGCAGAAAAGTCTGTGAGAGTCTCATCTCCAACTAATCACCAGGAAATTGGAAGTAGCACTGTGGTTCCAAGTGGTAGAGCTGCTAGCCTTGAATAAAAGAGCTCAGGGACAGCACCAAGGCCCCAAGGTTAAGAATCTAAGCCCTGCCGGGCACCGGTGGCTCACATCTGTAATACCAGCTACTCAGGAGGCTGAGATTTGAGGATCACAGTTCAAAGCCAGCAAGGGCAGGAAAGTCCACATGAGACTCTTATCTCCAATAAAGCCACTAGAAAACCGGAAGTGGCGCTGTGGTTCAAATGGTAGAGTGCTCAACTTAAGCTGAAGAGCATAAGGACAAGGCCCAAGCCCAGAGTTCAAGCCCCATGACCCACAAAAAAAAAAAATTCAAGCCCCCAAATCAACAAAAACAAAACAACACACACCACACACACACCACCCCTCCCCCCAACCTTTGATTGGCAAACATTTAGTTTCTTTACCAATGAATGGTACAAAGCAGCATTCAACTTAAACACTAAATGTCAAATGTTAGAAACTATGAGAAAGTTAATTTCTTTAAGTTTGGCCCAAAGATGCATACCTCGTCATTATTCCATAGGACTTACAGGAAAGTAAATAATGGCCCACAAAACCAGACAGTACAGTTTGGCTTCAGAGAGCACAGTTAATGGAATAACCAGGTGGGATCTTTAGAATTCAAACAGAACAGACCCTAGATGGGATTTTTCATATTCTTTCTCCAAATTATGTGAACCGAGCATAGCAAATATACTTCCCCTAGTGAACACCAGACATAAACAGATCATATGTCAGAATTTTTTTTTTTTGGGTCCAGTCCTGGGGCCTGAACTCTGGGCCTGGATGCTGTCCTTCAGCTCTTCAGTTCAAGGCTAGCACTCTACCACTTGAGCCACAGCACCACTTCCAGCTTTTTCTGCTTATGTGGTGCTGAGGAATCGAACCCAGGGCCTCGTGCATGCAAGGCAAGTGCTCTACCACTGAGCCACCTTCCCAGCCCTATGTCATTTAATTTTATCCTAAGTATTTCTGCTAGGCAGTCTCTTACAGTTGCTTAATATATACATAAGTGGTATTTGCTACTAGAGGTTTTTCTTGGTTTCTCCAGAGAAAACAATGGTCTTAAAAGAAATCCAGGAGGGCTGCGAAGGTGGCTTATTGGTAGACTGCTTGCCTTACATGCATGAGGCCCTGGGTTCAATTCCTCAGTACCACATAAGCAGAAAAAGCCGGAAGTGGTGCTATGGCTCAAGTGGTAGAGCTCTACTCTTGAACTTAAGAGCTGAGGGACAGTGCCTAGGCCCAGAGTTCAGGCCCCACGACTGACAAAAAAAAAAAGAGAGAGAGAGCAAAGGGATGACAAAGTCAAAAAAGAAATGTATTTATGCCAGGTGTTGGTGGCTAACGCCTGTCATACTAGCTACTCAGGAAATGGAGAGCTGAGGATCCTGGTTGGAAGCCAGCCCCAGTGGGAAACTCCATGAGACTCTTTTTTTTGGGGGGGGGGAAGGGAGGGTAGGTCGTGGGGCCTGAACTTGGCCTGTGTGCTGCTGTCCCTGCATTCCAGTTCAAGGCAAGCGCTCTACCGCTTGAGCCACAGCACCACTTCCAGTTTTCTAGTGGTTTATTGGAGGTAAGAGTCTCATGTGGACTTTCCCGCCTGGGCTGGCTTTGAACTGTGATGGTCAGATTTCAGCCTCCTGAGTAGCTAGGATCACAGGTGTGAGCCACTGGCGCCCGGCTCCATGAGACTATTATCTCCACTAAACTACTCAAAAAAGCTGGAAGTAGCACTGTGGCTCTAGTGGTAGAGCACTCATCCTGAGCAAAAAGAAGCTCAGGGATAGTGCCCAGGCCCAGAGTTCAAGCCCCAGGATGGGCCAAAAACAAAATAAATAAAAAATGTACTTATGTAACCCCTCCGTACCTCACCTTTGTAACAACAACAAAAAGTAAATGAAGAAATCCATGCAGTATGCTGATGATTGTAGCTATGATCCTAGTTATTCAGGAGACTGAGATCTAAGAATGTTGGTAGAAGCCAGCCTGGGCATATAAAAAATACAAGATTCCTACTTTCAAATGAAACATCAAAAAAACTAAAGCAGAGGTGTAGGTATAGTGGGAGAACGCCAGGCGTGATAGGAAAAGTCAAGAGCATGAGGTCCTGTGTTCAAACTGTAGTACTGGCACAAAGATAAATAATAACATTAAAATAGATCATGTGTAACCATAGTCTTCCAGTTGCTCGTTCAACTTTGTGCTTTGGACCTCAAACGCTGAAGGATGAAGAATGACAGCAAGTTGCATGCTAAGTTTCAAAGTTCCCTAAGTGTTAATGCCAAAACCACGGCCTGGTGATTGTGATCATCAGAGAGGTTTGGGAGTTACAGTGTTACACAGGGTTCAGGTTTAAGTTCAAGTGCGTTTGACCCCCCCCTCCCTTCCCCTCCCCCCTTTTCTCCCCCTCCCCTCCCCCCCACTCCTCTCACGGAGGCCACAAGCCGCACCCCTGACCAATTCCTCTACCAAAGCACCTCTACCCGCGTGAGGCTGGGATCAAGGCAGGCCCAGGCCCAGGCCCAGGCCTGGGCACAGCCCGGGGGCGGCCCGCGCCACGCGGGGAGGCCTCGCCGCCGGGAGGGGGTGCAGCTCCATACCTGCTTCTGCTGCTCGTTCAGCCCGTTGATCGCGTCGTCCACGGGCAGCAGGGAGTGGGCTCGCCGGGGCGCGCGGCCCGCGAGGGGCACGCCGGGCGGCAGCAGCCTCCAGCTCAGCACCCGCCTCCCCAGCATCCGAGCAGCAGGCGCCATCTCGGCCTCGCAGCCTCTCCGGGAGCGGTGTGCGTCCGGGGAGGCAGCCGCACGGCCATCCTTTCCGGATGGTCCCGTCCAATCAGCGATGGGGGGTGGGTCCGCAGCAGCCAATCACCTCCCGGGGCTGCCCAAACCCAGCGGGCCCGCGGCGGGGCCGCAGCCCTAGGCCGCCGCCGGGCAGAAAGCAATTCAGCCGGGCGGGCGCCCGCAGGTCATCCCAGCTACGCTGGAGGCTGAGAGATGAGGATCGGGGTTCAAAGCCAGCTCGGGCAGGAAAGCCCGTGAGACTCTGGTCTCCAATGAAGCACCAGAAAACCAGAAGTGGCGCCGTGGCTCAAAGTGGTAGAGTGGGACGGCGCCCAGGCCACGAGTTCAAGCCCCAGGAACACACACAGGTCTTCCTGGGAGTGGAAGACCAGGAGCTCGACTTCGGAGTCGGTAGGTGGAACATGGAAATAACAGCCTGTCACTGCGGGTATCAGCCAGACTGGGTCTTAAATTGAGACAGTGTGAAACTGGAAACGCGTTGGCATGGCCAGTCGTGGGGAACGCACTGGGCACGCACACCTGGCACAGTGGAGACCCGGGAAGCATCACCAACGCTGCCAGCCAGCGGGGGAGGTTACTAGGTAAGTTTTGCTGTAATAGTATGTGACAGGGTTTTTTCCCCGGGGGGGCGGAGCGGGGAATGAAGTTGCATGTGGCTCAGTATGTTAGCAGACAGATGCAAGCAAGGTGAAGTGGCTCAGGCTGTGATCCCAATCCTCCTCGCGACTTGAGAGGGAGAGCCTGAGCAAGAAGGGCATGAGTAAGAATTTTGAGACTCTATCACAGCCAATAACTGAGTATAATAGCATGCACCTGCCATCTCACCCATGCCAGAGCCCAACTAGGAGGACCCCAACACAGGCGGTAAGTGAAAATCTGTTTAAAAAAAAACAACAGGGCTGGGAAGGTGGCTCAGTGGTAGAGCACTTGCCTTGCATGCCTGAGGCCCTGGGTTCGATTCCTCAGCACCACATAAGCAAAAAGAAAAAAGCCGGAAGTGGCGCTGTGGCTCAAGTGGTAGAGCACTTACCTTGAGCTGAAGAGCTGAGGGACAGCGCCCAGGCCCAGAGTTCAGGCCCCACGACCGGACCCAAAAACAAAACAAAAAAAGAAATGTTTAAAAAAATAACAAAAGCAAAAGAGGATTGGAGTGAGGCGCTGGTGGCTCAGCTGGTGGCTCACGCCTGTCATCCTAGCTACTCAGGAGGCTGAGATCTGAGGATTGCCATTCAAAGCCAGCAGAGGCAGGGGAGGGGAGTCCATGAGACTCTCATCTCCAATAAACTACTCAGAAAATGCTAGAAGTGACGCTGTGACTCAAGTGGTTGAGAGCTAGCCTTGAGCAAAAGAAACTCAGGGGCAGAGCCCAAGCCCACAGTTCAAGCCCCAGGACTGGGGGGGAGGGTGGGGGAGAGGGAAGGATTTGGCCTATAAATTGGAGCCTGAAATCCAGTAACATTGTTCAATTAGACCTGCTTAGTAAAAGACATAGGATTTTTTTTTCTTGTTGCCATTGGTGATGGTGTTTGTTTTTGCTTTTGGGTTATTTTGGGTGTGGGGAGGGCAAAGGGGAATTGCAGAAAAGGGAAGGAAGGGTGAACAAATGCAATTATGATATTCAATATATGCTATGTAGAAAGTGAACTATGCAATTTGTGGCTAGGAATAGAAGGAAGAGACTGGGGGAAATGAAGGAAAGGATGACATTGTCCAAAAACAGAATATACTGGGGCTGGGAAGATGGCTCAGTGGTAGAGCGCTTGCCTTGCATGCCTGAGGCCCTGGGTTCAATTCCTCAGCACCACATAAGCAAAAAGAAAAAAGCCGGAAGTGGTGCTGTGGCTCAAGTGGTAGAGCGCTAGCCTTGAGCTGAAGAGCTGAGGGACAGCGCCCAGGCCCAGAGTTCAGACCCCACGACTGGACCCAAAAAAAAAAAAAAAAAAAAAAGAATATACTCATTATCTGACTTGTGAAATGGTAACCCCTCTGTATAACACCTTAATAACAATTTATATATATATATATATATATATTTTTTTTTTTTTTTTTTTGCCAGTTCTGGGCTTGAACTTAGGGCTGGGGCATTGTCCCTGAACTGCTTCTTTTGCTCAAGGCTAGCTCTCTAACACTTGAGCCACAGCTCCACTTCTAGCTTTTTCTGTTTATGTGGTACTGGGGAATCAAACCCAGGGCTTTATGCATGCTAGGCAAACACTCTACCACTAAGCCACATTCCCAGCCCAAAATTACCTGTTTTTAAAAAGGCCTAAAATTCAGTATATCAACATATTTTTGTGGGGGGGGAGTCAGTCATGGGGCTTGAACTCTAGGCCTGGGCACTGTCTCTGAGCTCTTCAGCTCAAGATGAGTGCCCTACCACTTGAGCCACAGCGCCACTTCTGGTTTTCTGGTGGTTAATTGGAGATATGAGTTTCACAGACTTTCCTGCCTGGGCTGACTTTGAACCATAATCCTCAGATCTCAGCCTCTTGAGTAGCTAGGATTACAGGCGTGAGCCACTGGCACCTGGCTATATCAACATTTTTATAGCGTTGTACAGAGCTCTAAATTCAAACAACAGTGTAAAATACATTATGTATATGAGCATGCATATGATTTGGGGAGCCTCCTCGGGAGATCCTCATATGGATCCTGCACTAGTGTACAGAGGATACTAGATAGAATGTACTAGAATTAATGATAATCCCCCAAAACATAAAGGGCATGGAGACAGGACAAGACCATCTACCACGGAAGAGTATACTGTCATCTCTCTCTGTAAGAAAACACCCTGTGCACCATAATTACAGCATCCCATCTAATGGTACAAATGGTAAAGTTGTCCTCACCCCTGACTGGGCAAATAAAAACCAATAAAAATGCCTACCCTACATAGAATAATTAACACCAATCAATACAGACTACTAGGAGGACAAGAATATTTAGGAATATTACAGCCATTATCAAAACATTGGCTAAGGAAAGCCACACTACTCAAAACAACAGCTAATTTTATGTGAATGAATCCTGTCTAGACAGAAAAACAACAACAACAAAAAGGTGCTTCTAGAGACTGACCAGTTGCCTTTGAGTGGAGAAAATGAAAAATATTATTTTTTTTGTTTTCTATTTTGTAATTTTTTTCCCATAATGGATATACTTCATTTTTCCAATAAAGAAAATAACTTTAAAAAGTGTTTTTAAAAGGGGCTGGCTTCGTGGGAGAGTGCTTGCCTAGCATGCTTGAAGCCTTGGTTCTATTCCTCAGTACCACATACACAGAAAAAGCTGGAAGTGGTGCTGTGGCTCAAGAGGTAGAGTGCTAGCCTTGAGCAAAAGTAGCTCATTGACAGTGCCCAGGCCCTGAGTTCAAGCCCCAGGACTGGCACACACACACACAAAAAAGGTGCTTGCAAAAGTTAAAAGTCCCATGACCTCAAGGGTTTCTACACCACTCAGGTTTGCAAGAGCTGTACATTTACTACTGTTCTGGTTGCAGGGTATGGGTCAAAGTAGAATGTAGCATTGGGCAGGGTTCATGGTACCACCAGCCCTATGCAGGCTGCCAGGGGAAAAGTGTTGTGAATTGACCTGCTTGACTGCAGACCCCATGAATCCCTGCAGATGTGCCCTGCTGGAGCAATAGTTACTCAACTCATGTGGATGCAGCCAAGCCTGCTGTATCTGTATCTATGTCTGCCTGTTGGGAGGGGAAATGCCTTTGCTATTGAGTCAGGACTGAAATCTGTGGTTCAAATGGTGGTACAACTTCCTAGCTAGCACAGGCTTAAATCCCTAGGCTTGAACCTCCCCTGTAAGAAATCTGTGGCTGGGGCTAGGAAGGTGGCTCAGTGGTGGAGCACTTGCTCTGCATGCATGAGGCCCTGGGTTCGATTCCTCAGCACCATATAAGCAGAAAAAAAAAAAAAGCCAGAAGTGGCACTGTGGCTCAAGTGGTAGAGCGCTAGCCTTGAGCTGAAGAGCTGAGGGACAGCGCCCAGGCCCAGAGTTCAGGCCCCATGACCGGACCCAAAAAAAAAAAATCTGTGGCTAAAAGTTCTATATATAGGCTCCAGGGGACAGGTTACCTCAACGGGGTCTTCTGCTGTTTGGGATCTTGCTGCTGCTTCCCGTAGTGGCCCTTCACATTCACATGGAATGGACAGCAGTGGGCTTCAGTTGTATACCACCCAGTTCTACCATTTGCTGTGGGATGGTAGGTTGTATTTCTCTGTTGATGTAAAAACCCAACTTTTAGGATAAGAGATCACTCACCACTGGGGCTGGGAAGGTGGCTCAGTGGTAGAGCGCTTGCCTTGCATGCATGAGGCCCTGGGTTCGATTCCTCAGCACCACATAAGCAGGAAAAACTGGAAGTGATGCTGTGGCTCAAGTGGTAGAGCGCTAGCCATGAGCTGAAGAACTCAAGTTCAGGCTCCACCACCAACAAAAAAAAAAAAAAAGAGAGAGAGAGATCAGTCACCACAGGAGAATTGCAGTCAAGGGGAACCTCTTCTTCAATGGGCAGCAACCACCACCACCCGCAGCAAACCCAGCTGCTGGACTTCAAAAGCTCATCTGTAATGATGGTACACTCTGCCCTTCAGCATCTAAAGTAGCGGCCACCACCTCCCATGCCATCACGGTATTCTCAGCCTTGTTGTTCTCCATAGACCCCTTTTTAGTTTCTAAAAAGGACATATTATAGCCCTTCTCCCTTATCAGATGATAAGGGTCTGAGGACTTTGGGGGGCGGGAGGGATGATAAATAGGGAGTATGGAAACCTGAAGCCTGAACACTGTGGCTCTGACGTTGCTGAGGATTGCTTATGTCATGCAGCAAGGTGCTGCTCACGCACAGCCCCTGGAACCCATGAAAAATGACTGCTGGGGAGGAGGGAAGGCTCTGCCTGCCCCCTCCAGAGTCTCCTGAAAGGAATATTGGGACCCTGGCTCCTTCCTGTCTTCCTGTTTCCAAGCCACTG